GTGTGCTTTGTGCAAGGGTGCAGGACACATGCTCTTGCCCTTGAGTGCAATCATCCATGTAATTACCCTGTGAGTGATAGGATTGGGGGGAAAAATCATATTATCCTTATGATAGTGTTCATGGGACCATTGATCAAGGTGACAATTGGAAATTCATCACGATAAAGCAGGAAAAAATGGCAAGTTTCCTGTGCATGAGGTGAGCACCTGATCCAAGCCAGCTTTTCATACTCTGATGTGTGATTTCAGTAGGAAAATACCTGAATGAGACCCTGAAGCAGCAGATATAGAGTGGGCTGGACCACTCTCCCTCTTCCCTCCTTCTTTGGATGGACTTGCACCTTAAAAACTTCCCATCCTTTGTGTGCTTCCAGACATGGGAACACAGCTCAGACTGCAACAAACCAAACGCTGTGATAAAGTGAAACTCTTGTGGCAGGTTCCCCTCCCTGCTATTTTTTTTTTAAAGCTTCCAAAGATAAATTGCATTTTGCTTCAAGATAATGAAATTTCCTTGGAGGAGCGACATATTTTTCTGTAGCTTTTGCATTTGGAACATGAGGAGAGTTTTTATTTTAAATCTCCATTGAAAGTGTTTGTCTGTCTATATTTTGCTTTCTTCCTTGTGAATGTTCTGACTTCACAGAGCTAGCAGGGACCCGGAGATGGAGTGTTTCTGTCACTTATTATAGCTTGCCTTGGCATAAAATTTAATCTTTGGATTTTTTTTGCCTCCTAAAGAAATGAAAGTTGAAGCCAGATTAGAAACAGATAAAAAGATGTCATCCATCCTCAGACAAAGGAGTTTTTGTTTTTCTCTTTTGCATTTGCCTTTGTTAATCCTCTGTCTTCAAGGGAAACAAAGAGATCCTTCCACCTGGAGATCCTAGGAAGAAAGGGAAAACGAGGGGAAAGTGGCATGGCTGATCCGTGCTTGTGCTGTCCCATGGCTGGTGGGTCTGCTGGGACTTGGAAGAGCTCTGAAAACCCAATTAAGAGGAAAAGCCAGGTAGCAGAAATTGCAGGATCTATGAATCAAAGTTAATTCTTTCACTCCTCAAGGAACTTGCTGATCTTTATCTGTCTTTATTGTCCATTGCTAGAGGAGCAGGCGCTTTCTCTGCCTCCTTCCCCAGAGGGGAGGATGTGGCATGTCCATCCTGTTACATGGTGCCTGGTGTCACACCAGAGCTGCCTGAACACTGCTCCCATCAGTGATTAATATGTTCTCAGGCACCAAGAGGCTCAAGGCACTTGGCACTTGACTGTCTCCTATTTTGGGACTTAAAAAACAGAATATTCCACCAGCAGAACCTGCAATATATCTTTCCATACTGCACGAGGAGTTACTCTGTGGCCTGGCTCAGGCTGCATCTCTTGCCCAGGGAATTAATAGACTCTTCCATACCCCAGCTCCCTCTGTTCTCACTCTGGTTGCCAAATTAACCTTCATCTCACCTACTTTTTCTTCACGTCTCGCTTCAATTTAGTCCTCAAATTGTTCACATGACAAAGGAGTTGTCCTTCCTACAGCTTCTTCTGTTCTGATAAGACACCTGAATTTTCTGTGAATGCCTGGAGAGACAATAACTTCTCTCCCTCCCTTTCTCCCTTCAGCTTCCCTATGGTATTTAAGCCCAGAAGTCTCCCTGAGGTTATTTCCCCTGGGAGAACAGTAAGCAGTTTGGGCTGCACTGTGCCAAGTGCCGAGTTGTGCCTTGAATACACTGAACATTTAATGCTGCTAATTAATGTTATTACATCATATTACATTTACTTGGACTTGCAGGAGGTGCTGCAAGGGCTGGATGCTGCTTGCCAGCATTGCCCTTGTTACCTGTCTCACCTGACTCTTGTTATGTGGTGCCCAGCAGACAAGTCAGCTGGAATATTGAAGGGATCTGCCTCTCTTATCAGGGAGAGGATTTACCAGCTCCTCAGGCTTTGACTCTTGGGAGGCTGCTGTAGGTGCAGCCTTTTCCTCAATTAATGCGCAGGCAGGGAGCAGCCTGTGCTGCCTTGGCAGGATTAGGGATGCAAGAGCAGTGCTCCTGCGCTGTGTGAAAAGCTTCCTGCCCTCCCTGCAGGCCTGGCCTCAGCTTGGAAAATAAACCGGGAGTGTCAGAGCTGCTTTAGCTCTGTGCTTGTCCTGGCTGGGGAGGCTCCCGTGTCCTCTGCCAGCTCTGCTGCTCCACGAGGCTGATGCAGGGGAGCTTTGTTTGACCTTTATTGTGCTCCGAGCTGCTCCGACGTTAGCGAGTGGCTCACAGGGTTCTGCCACCAAGGGCACCAATCCAGTGAGCTCCCAGTCTGAGCTGCATGGTAGCTCTGGTGCAGGGCAGGAGGCTTGGTCACCCCCCACCTGCTGTCACAGGAGATGTCAGGCTCCCAGAGTGAGGGCTTGCTGCTTCCCAGGTTGATGAATTTGGGGTGACCTCTCCAGAGCCTCCCTTGTAGCATGGTTGCTGCCACCAGATGCACAAGGATGGCTTGGTGGGATCCATGTTTGTGCTGCAGCTGGTCCTGTCACAGGCACTGTGGTGAGGATGAACAGGGACGGGCACAGGCTGTGACCCCTCTGCTCTCAAAGCTGGTTACAAGGGTTTTTTTGAGAAGGAGATTTGTGCCGTGCCATATCATAAGTCTTGGTGCTTCCTTTCACTGGGATCCCAGATCTTCATCCTCCACAAAGGCTTTGGCATCGCCTCAAGCAGCATCTGAGAACAAAGGCAAAGCTGTTAATTAAGACAGAGCTAATTCTGGCAGCCGACTGCCGCCATCTCAATGCGCTGCGGGCTGTGGGCACAGAGGGACCGGCCGTGCACCCCGGGCACAGCAGCCCAAAGCCTTCCTTCCCTCTGCGGGGCTGCTCATGCTCTGAGCACGTCTGTGCCCCATGCCCTTCCCACACGGGGGCCTGGTGGGCATAACTGGAGGTTGCTGGTAGCGCAGAGGGTGGTTTTGCCTTCTATGGGGTGTTTGCCTCCCACACGTGGCTGGCTCAGAAGGAAAATAGAGCAAAAAGTGCCCAAAACCCCATCAGGCTTTAATGCCCTTGATGTGCCCTCTAAAGGGACACTGGTGGCTATTGTCTCTGGGGCAGATGGTGACAATCCCACTGGGTGTGCAAGGAAGAATAGCCCTGTGACAGGATGTTGCTACCTTCCCACTTCCACCCCCAGATGGTACATGGCTTTTTTGGCGATGTGTCTTCCAGGAGAAGCAAAGCCTTGCTGTTGGGAGACTCGGAGCAAGGCTGACAGAACAGAAAACATTTTGAACAAACACAGCTGGCTTTCACCCAGCGCAGCCAACTCTTTGGCCAGCTGAAAAGAAATCAGAAGAATATTGATGTATTATTTTTTTTACCCTACAGAAATTGTCAGGCTTTTTTTTTGGTTAAATGTTAGTTTCTGAATACAAGGTTTTCAGCTGATAACTATTATTTGGGAGGAAACCCCCCCCACCCCAAAATGAGGCACTTCTCTGGATAACTCACAGGCTCAGCTCTTCGCCTCTTGTATTCTCAAACGATTAACATTTTTTTGCTTTGCACATCATGAATATTCTATACTTGAGCTGTTACTGAGTTGTGCTAGATCAGATAAATAACATGGTGTTGCTTTTATGGCAGACTGGATAAAGATGCAAATAATACTGACATTTACTTCACAGTTTTCTTTCTGTGATCCTCTGAGTGAGTAAACTGGATTGCTGAGATATTCATGGGAAGGAAATGAAGAAGGGTTGTCAAGATGAAAGCGAATTTCCTTAAAACTTGGCCAGAAGGTTCTTGGCAATTTTTTCAGTTATTTGCTCAGCTGAATAGGAGCTGCTTGAAAATATATTTTGTACAACCGCAAAAGGAAAACTCTCGTTCCCGTGGCACCGCTGACTGTTTTTTTGCACGCTCTTTGCTTGAAAAGCTGACGATTTTCTAGCGTTCGGTGTCTCTGCAGGGTTTCTGGTCCCACCGTGGCGGCAGGCGTGCGGCCGTGACCGGAATGAGCCCTTGCTGCCTGCCCTGCCCGCGCTGTTTTCCCTATCCCGCGTGTGCTGGGATCGCGGATCCCTGCGGAGGAGGGCCAGGGTCAGCTTTGCTGTCGGGTGGGGAGCGGAGCAGCGCGGGATGCTGAGCCCTGCCAAGGCTGACCAGGGCAGTGCGTGGGGAGAGCGGGGCCGGCCGAGCGTCCTTCTGGATGGTTCTTTTTGGAGGCTGAGGATGTAGATCGCTCCTGGCTAGGCTTGTGGGGTACCAGGGCACGGCCCTGGGCTCGCAGTGACGGGGCTGATGCTGAGGGGTGCTGAGCATCGCGCTGTCCGCCGAGCCAGGCCGCTGGTCCCCTGCTCCCGGGTGCCCATGTGGGCGCGGCGCCCGGAGCAATGCCCAGAGAAGGGTGAGCGCGGAGGAGAAGGCAGGAGGCTGAGGGGGATGCGTTGTATCCAACCCCGCGCCCGCAGTGTCTGAGCTTGATGGGACCGGCCGTGTTAAGGGTGGCTAGGCAGGGGCGTCACGTCTCCGTGGGGCTCACGGTTCGCTCCAGATTCCTTTTGGGGGTGAGAGAGCAGAGCGGGATTGCGGCGCTGTGATCCCGCCGGCGCGTCCCCGCTGCTGTCCCGGCTCTGCGGGGCCGGGTCCGCCCCGTCGCGGGTCCCGCCGAGGGGAGGCACGCCGTGAGGGCGCGTCCTTGCGCCGCCAGGGGTCGCCGTTCCCCTTCGCACGGGCGCGTGCGGCGGGCGGGGGCGTGGCCGAGGCGTGGCGCGGCGCGGGGATTGGCGGGGCGGGGGCGGGGGCGTGGCCGGGCGGACGCGGGGATTGGCGGGGCGGCGGCACTCGCGGCGGCGATGTGACCCGGGCGGGCGGGCAGCGGCAGCGGCACTGCCACCGGCCCGTCCCGTCCGCGGCCCCGGCCCGCCCTGCCCCGGAGCCACCCGGCCCGCGGACGCACCCCCCATGCCCGCTCACGGCCGCCCGCCGGTAGCGGCTGACGCCTGCGGGGCCCGAGGAGGCGATGGCTGCGGATCTGGTGGTGCTGCTCTGCCTGGCCGCCGCCGCGGCCGCCGTGGAAGGTGAGAGGCGAGCGGGTGGGATGCTGAGCCGATGGTCCCTGCGCCGCCCGCGGCGTCCGCAGCTTGGGAGCAAGCGAGGAGCGACTCCTCCGCTGTAAGGCACGGGCACAGGCTGCGTCCTGGCCCCGTGGCCCCGGCCTCTTGTGCCAGCCCGGGTTACCTGGCCCGCGGGGGATGCCGGCAGCTCGTGCCCTCGGGAGGGGGCCCGGGATGGAGGAAGGAACCCACCCGCATCCGCCTAGGGCGAGCTCCAGCTCGGCTCCCCTTCCCTGCGGAGCCCTGCCCGGGACCGCGGTGCGGTCACCTCCGACGTCCCTTTTGGTCCCCGGGGCCGCGGCGGAGCCGTCTCCGGAGTCCGGTCTGGGTCCCCTCTGGTGCCCGGGGCCGTGGTGGAGCCGCCTCCGGGGGCCGTGGTGGTGCGCGGAGCCGCCTCTGCCAACCCTCCTCCTCCCAGCCCCGGCGGAGGGTGGATGCGCCAGGAGCCGTGGGCAGGTGGTCTCCGTTTCTGGAGAGGAGCTGAGCTGGGGGACGCTTGGCCCGGCCATGGAGCCACGGAGCAGGTGCGTGCTCGTCCTCTCAGCACGGTCCGTGCCGGTGGGCTGGGATCTTTTCCCCATCTCCCGCTTAGTCGTGGGATTTGCTGGGCAGCAGGAAGGTGCCTGCAGCCGAGAGCCAGGGTCCGGGCGGTGGGCCTGGTGGGACAGTCTTGGTGCTGTGTCGCTGCTCCGTGCCCGGCATGGATCTTGAAGTATTGCTTCGATTATTTTTTCTCTTTATTTTACCACTGCCACCTTTCTTGCTGGTACAGCAGCAGCTCGTGGCAGGGGTTGCCCAGCGCTGGAGCGGCGGCTGCGAGCAGGGGACGTGGTGCAGCCCCTCGGTTGTGAGCAGAGAGAGGCGAGCGGCTGTGGGAGAGGATGCTCATGGGCTCAAACCTCTGCCAGCTGGTGTGGGGCTGGGCCCTCCTCGGGGGGTTTTAATGTGGGTATGGTTGTGGCTGTCAGAGATGACAGGAGACTCTGGCTCAGCTCTGGGCAGCGAGGAGCCGGTTCCGGGGCTGGAACGCTGCTCCCGTGGGGTTTGGCCGCAGCTCCGCTCCGTTCGCAAGCACGGCTGCTGGATCGTGGCGGGCAGGCCCGCTTGATGCAGCATCCCCTTCTCGTTGGCTTTGCGCTGACACACGTGTTTGCTTTTCGTATTTCTTGCGCTGCCTCATGCCACCTGTGTAGGAATAGCTGGAGGTGGGAGTGCTGGTGCCATGCCGAAGCGTGATGCAACGAGCGCGCCTTTGCTCGGTGGCGAAGCCGCACGTGAAGAGGCGAGACCTGTTAGCAGCGCTTTGCTCGCCGGCGTCTGCAGCGTCAGCGGCTTGAGGCACTGCTGGAATTGCGGCTGGATGGGAGGATTCGGCTCCCTCCTGGTCTGAGGGCACTCCTGGGTGTCACCCACGGGGTTCCCCAGCTTGCCCCGGCTCTCCCCGGGGGCACTGGCAGAGTCAGTGTCCCTGCCCAGGACCGAACCTGTTGAGGAGTGGTGATATTGCTACTCCGCTGAGGAAGTTGCTTGGATAGTAAAGTAGTATTCTAGGAAAAATCTCAGATTTCAGGGAAAATTTTGGAGGGGGAATTTCTGAGGTAGAGCAGTCGAATATGATTTGGAGTTAAGGCGAGAGTCTAATGATGTGGTCATGGTAAAAAAAAAAGCCTTTTAATGAGGTTTATTTAAATCTTATTGAATCTCTTGATACATGTTTGCTATATCGAAACGTGGTTTTCTCTAGTGGTCAGGAGCATCTCCTAGGACTTGCCCTGCCCTGGGGTCTGGCTGTGCCCCTGGAGCATCGGCGAGGCTGGATTAGCCGGCAGCCCTCTGTGACAGCACGGCAAAGCCACGGCTTGCTCTGCCCTGGGCTGCAGGCAGGAGCGGCTGAGCCAGGGATGGCTCCCTGCTTCCCAAATCAGCCAACGAGACAAGAAGTCTTTTTTCCGGGATGACTGGAGAGGCGTCGGGGGGTCTAGACCCGGCTGGAAGGGGAGGAGGATGCAGCTGGGGTCAGGGCACGAACTGCCTCCAAACCACCCTCGTTATTCTCCATAAAACCTTGCTAACTCATTGCCTGCGGCACGCGAACCTGGATGTAATAGAGTCACTTATCTGACTTTTTTATGGTTCCTTGATTTTTTACTAAATCCTGTTGCTTAACTGACCCTTTTCTGCTGGACACCTGGATGTTTGTAGTAATTCTTAAATTTTTTTTGTGGCTTTTAAAGAGGAAAAGGGATGTGAGAAGATGACAGCAGCAAATACTCTGTCTCTCCCACACCCTGCAATCACTCAGGAGCCGCTCGCATGCTCTCTCTCGTGTTAGCTGAACCAAATATAATCCATTTAGCATATAGAGAGGGTGGTAATGGACTGACGTTACATGTTTTAACTCGGGTTGGAGCTGTTGGTCGGTCAGATGGGGCTGATGACCGTTTCAGTACAGCTCCTCCATATACTCTGTTTCACCTGCCTGGCCTGCTTGCCTCTCCAGCATCTCCCTGTCTCTCGCCTGCTCTTTTAAAATCCAGGTTTTTCTCTCTGTGCTTGCAGCATCACGAGAAGCAGAGCACGGGAGGGAGGTGGAAAGCCTTGCTTGGGGCTGGTGAATCCGGCGTAGTTTTATTCCCCTGCTCATCCACCGGCTTCAGAGCCGGCCTGGGAGAGGAGCAGGGCTGGGGTTTGACTGGAGAGCTCCGTGCGTGCTGCCTGCCCCGCTCGCCGCTCTCCTCCCCCTTGGCTCGGGATGCTCACACACATCTGTTGCAGGCATCCTTCGGGCTTCCTCCGCTTCCGCCAGGCGCCGGGAGCGGTGCCTGTGCCTGTGCCGAGCGGGCTGGGAGCCTTCAGCCGCCCTTCCCTCTGCACCAGCACCCCGTGGGCTCCCAGCTGCTCCACCCCGAGCTGAGCCCTCGTCTAGGAGAAGCTAGGAATAAGTCCTCAGGAGGGAATTTGCAAGTGCAGACGGTAACCTTCATGGGAATTTGCAAGTGCTACTATTCAGCTGTCCGTTTACTCTTGCTTTCTTTGCTCAAACTAAGGGAGGGGAAAAAAAGAAAGCCCTAAGGGGAAAACCCTTATTCTTGGCAAGACGTGAGCCCAGATCTTGTCAGCCTGAAGGGAAAGTGTTTTGTCAAGTCATGGAAAAGGGGCCTGACACTGCAGGTGCTTATGTTGCCTTTTTTTTTTTTTAACTAACTCCTGGTGTCTCTGCTCACGGAGAAGGTGGGGACTGTGTTTTCCTGTTCTTTTGGATATTGGAATGCTGCATGATCTCTTATGTCTTAAGTGGCCGTGACTGCTGTGGCATGAGCTGCCAGAGGGTTTGCAAGGTGTCTTCTCACCCATCCTGAGTGCAGCTCCTGACACAACAGGGCAGAATCAAACCCTTCCACTGGCCTTAGAAATCAGAAGAAAATATGGATGTTTGATGATGGAGGTCAAATACGTTCATCTGGAACTGGATCCAGGCTATGGTGCTAGATAATAGATGTTTCTAGCAGAGATGGGTTCTGTAAGCTAAAGAAATGCTCAGATTTGATGGAAAGGGGGAAATGCTACCTTGGGCAATGGCTAACTCGATGCTAGTCAGGTCAGCAGAGTCTCGGAGACCCCGGTCCGGGTGCAGCAGGAGTGCTGTGGGATGGGGCTGATGGAAGTGATGCTCAGAGCGAGGCTGAGACTCTTGTGGTGTATATGCACTGCCCTGGCTGAGTCCAGCCAGCTCCAGGGGCTTTTTTACCTCTCCCTGCTGTGGGTACCCTGAGCTCAGCACATGTGGAAAGGTTCCTGCTGGAACCCCAAAACTGTGATGCTGCCCAAAGGGCACCATGCTTTGTTCCCTCTAAACACAGTGTTGGTGTGGGGAATCATTTAACAGCACAGCAAGGCTGGGTAAATACTTGGGTTGTGGGAGGGAATGCTTTCCCCGAATATTCGTGAAGATTTGGAAGTGCATTTAAATTTGACCTTGTTCTGCTGCAAACAGAGCTCTCAAAGTTTGCATGCATCAATACTTGGGCAAGGCAAATGTTAAGGTTGGATGTTGGCCGAGTGGCAATTTGGGAAGGCAAATCCTCAACTGGAATGGCAGAAGGTTGGAGTGAGTGTTGCTTACAGAGGTCCCAGGTTGGTGTGGGAGCAGAAGGGTGCGGAAAGGGATGGAGTGATGACAGAGTAGTGTCAGGAGAGAGCTGGGACCTTGGGTGGGCCTTGAACTGGTTATTGCATTGTTCAGCTTTTAGGGGTAAACCCACAGTCCTTCCAAAAATGAGCAGCTTGAGAGGCTGCCTGGGAGTGTGCAGGGAAGGGAGCGGGCACAGAGCGGATGCAGACAGCAGGTAGAGGAAACACAGCCTTTTCCTTAGGGACAGTGGGAGTAAACTCTTGCCCAAATCTGCTCCATGGCTTTCCAGATAAGTGGCAAGCATGCATGGGCTCCCTGTAAATGTTGCTCACAGCCACAGCTGAGTTTTTTGAGCTCTTTTATTTTGGTCACCATCCATTTTCCCACCAAGTCACATCATGAGAAACAGTGAGAAAAACAGGACACGTGTTTTGTAGACATGAAAGGATCTGTGCTGTATTTATTTATTTCTCACAACTTTTGAATTATTAAAGTGCGTTCAGGGGAGATTAACTTTCCCTGCTCAATATTTATTATTGTTTCATTTCCCTGAAAGTTGGAGCTACAAGAGCTTTGATGAATGGGCTGGGAGGTTCTGTAGTTTCTCTATGGCTAATCTAAATACGTCCGTATCCTTTGCTGAAAAGCTAATTTGTAATTTCCTATGGTAATGCTGCTTAGTGAATTATAATGATACACCAGGGCCTGCTTTTCGTCCCGGCCCTCTGTCAGGGGAATAATGCTACCACTGGAAAATGGTGTGAAACCTGGAAACTGGCCATTAGTCCCCTAAATTTTTGGTCTAATAACAGGAATCCAGAAAGCCTGTGCA